CCCAGAGGTAAGGAGGGGGGGGGGGTTGGGGATTACGGAACGGTGCTGGGCGGTTTTTACCTTATTACCTTACTGCCTTTAATAATATTTTAAAATCATTTACATTTAGAGATTTACTACATCATCTGGTGACCACTGTGGTAATGTTTCATTAACCATTTGTCTAAACATTAAAATTGTCTGAATGATGAAAACTACAGGAAAGCATGTGCTGAGCCAGTGACATGTTCATACGTGTATTAGAGAGTAAAGATCTGCATGGAGGAGACTAAATGACTAATATATAAAAGAAAACTTATTTTTAATTATACTGTGTGAATTGGCACACAAACATAATATAGGTTTCTCAAATACACGGTTTATATTATAGGTTTCTCAAATACACTTTCCACTTTTGCAGCCAAGTTTGGATAACACCTACTCTATTTGTTACATGTTCTCATTCATGTAACATAGTTTTAAAGAAAAAAAAAAACAGCTAAAAATTGCAGCTTACCCTTTAGGGCTGGTCTTTTCTGGCAACTCCAGGACTGAAAAATCCTGCTTAGTTCTCATTGTTTGAGGGGGCTGGGGGAGTTTTGTATTGGATTAACCCTGCCTGTACTGAGCTGGCAGAAAAATATATTTTTATGTATGCTGTGTGAATAGGAACACATATATATGAGAAACCCCCACTATATGTGACTGCAAAAGTGGAAATACACTTTAAGAGACAGATGATTAGTATTCAGAGACAAGTGGGACGTTCAAGAAGTTCAAGGGGTGGGCAACAGTAACAAAACACTAACAGGCCCACATAACAAAACAACAGAACTGGGGGTCAGTCTACAACTGAAATGCAACTTCATGAAGGACCTTACATCCAAGGATGGCATCAGATGAGGCCTGACCATCTACATGTGAAAAGAAGACCAGGTGGCAGTCTTGCAAATCTGGAAAACAGATGTTTGATGCCAAAAAGTTCAAGAGACCTAGCAGAGTTTGCTTTTTCAGGAAAGGGTGAAACCTTGAGCATAAGCTTGTATGATGACCTGTCTGAGCCACCAAGTAACATGGAGCCGGAAGCTGGTTCTCCTTTACGGGGACTATCAGGAATAACAAAGGGAAATTTCCTTCTGATGTACTGGAGCTTGACAGAGGGACAGTTGAGGTGAAAGACTGAAACTTCCATAGGAAACAAGGAGGCCCTTAGTACTACCTTATCCTTGTGTACAACCAAGAAGCGTTCTTTACAGGACAATGCTGCCAGCTCAGAAACACACCTTGCAGGGGTGATGGCAACAAGGAACGCAACCTCACGAGTGAGAGTGGAAAGGGAAATATTCCCGATTCAAAAAGGTGATTATGATGCATGTGCATTTTGGGTAGGAAGCTTCAGTCCACTAAAGCATTTATACTTTGACCTTGGGTTGTGATGTGGAAGGACAAATTTAGAATTGAAGCAACGCACTAGAATATTCAAGTCTAAAACTAGGTTTAGTCTAAACAAAAATTATAAATAAAAAGTCAAATTTTGGGGGATGTATACCGTTCCCCTCATCAGGGTCTAAATGTCATAAAATGTCATATAAAAGCAAAAAAAATAATAAATACTAATAAAAACTTCTATAAAATAACATGGCATAAAAAAAAATAAGCAAATACTACTCCTATTCTTCTGGATGAATCTGTATCAACTCTTGAAACAAGCACACTGGACAGTTGTATAGCTACAGATGTAAAACCGTGTTCTACATCTTATACTACTTCAATATAAGAGGAATTTTATCACCGTGTTCCAGACATTAAAAGAAAATAAGTCTCAAAGAAAAAAAACAAATATAAATGATAGAAAACGCTGACAAGGGTCAAGAAGCGGTGATCCCTAGACATAAAATATCATATACAAGCAGCCAAAAAGCTTCCTGAGGAGAGTATTTAACATAGGACATCAGAGACAGATGCTACCCTACATAAATAAAGATTTATTATAGACCATGTTATTTACTTACTAGTATTTTTTTATCTGTCATGTGACATTTCGGCCCTGATGAAGTGGGTGGTGTTTGGAGTAGACTTATATTTGGACTTGAAATTTATGATGTGGCACCTCAATTCTAAATTTAGCCTTCCGTGTACGATGGGAAACCTTGCGGATGGCAGATTTATTAGCTCTGCCTGATGATTCTCCCAGAAGTTTGATAATTTTTTTTAGACAGGTCCTGCACACTTTATTTCAACGTGCCCCAATGCTTTGAGTCTTGGGCTGCCAAAGCAATTGCTGAGTATACGTCAATCTGGATTGCCATGTAAAGAGGCCAGCCCAGCAGCTTGTTAATTAAAATCTTGACTGAGGGAAAGAATCTCAAAAAAAGAGGGGGAAAAAAAACAGCTAGTAAAATAGTTACATTTTCTCACTAGAGAAAATCCATCCATCCATCCTCCTAGGACACTAGTAAAAAACTAAAGCTTGCTGAAACAGGAGGGTTTGTAGCTGGCTGGTTGCTGCTTTTCTGTTTGCCAGTGTCCAAATCTTCCTGTAGGCATCAATATAACCCAATTTACTCTGAATACTAAAGCCTGTAGCCCTTAGTAAACGAGAAAGAGAAAGGCTCATACAGATGCATAGGGAACAAGACTGGGTGAAGAAGTGATAAAGTGTGGGCAAAGCATATATAGAAAGTACACAAAAACAATGGTGCATGAAGCACTCAGGTTATAAAGAACAGGCAGGGGGCGATGGGTAAAGTAGCTGGTATGGGAGACTGAAGGACCCCTGGAAGCTCTCTGCGTGTTGCCCAGCAATGCTGCATCTTCCAGACCCACTCTGTCTTTCAAAAAATATAATTTGCTGAGCATTTCACGATACCAGTAAATATTGTTTTTAGCTTATGGTCATTTCTGTTCCATGCTTGGGAACAGAAGTTTCTGTCAATGAACTGGAGCTCAGGACTCACCTCTGAGTTAATGGCATTTAAATTGCTCCTTGGCATGGTGTCTGCATAGTGCCAGTTAATTGTGGCAGCCTGGCCATCCTTTGGAGGTAGTGCTTCCGCTACAATAACTTTATCATGAGGTAGAATCATTCCACAGTCCCGGGCAACAGAAATTGCAGTTAACATGTTGTCTCCTGTAAAAGAGGTCAATACAAGTAATACAGTTACAGTAAAGTAAAAGGAATTTCACCTTATACCCTGTTCTTTTCAAATATTAAGTGGCAAACTGACCACTTTCTAATTGTTAGGCATACTAATCTGTAAATAGCTCAATAAACTCAGTAAGAACTCAGTAAGAACTCAGTAAGAGCCAAGCTTTATTTCTTGATATTCTGCAGTTGACTATCTTCCTCAGCAGAAGCCCTTCCCAAGCTATAAGTCACTCATGGATCAACAATACTGATTTATTGCGGGTGGGTAAGAAAATTATTAGTGAGGCACTTTATTTCCCCCGAACTCTCACTAATAAAACACACAAGGCTAAATCTTCTCCATGTACAATGCCAGGATAAACTTAGCATTGCAGCATTAAGCATATGGCCTTGGGTGAAAAGAAACAAGCATGTACCTCATCTACCCAATTTTTGCAGAAGAGATGACACTGTCCACGTAGTCAACTCTCTTATTCCTAAAACCTGTCTATATCCAGGATATCAAATATATAAAAAAAACAAAACAAAAAACCACAAGCTGCAAATAAACTTTCGAACAAGACTTTTAGCTATTGCAGCCTCCCCTAGAGCAGTGAAAGGTATCCTTCCAATAATGCATGTCACTGCTCTTTGAGTACGCATGGGAAATGCTGCGTGACAACATTCTCCACTGCAACATGTAACACAGACAAATGGCAATGGACAGCGCCATAAAGATAAGTGATGTGTTTGATTTTGGACATGGCTTGCAATTACCACATCATTTCTGCTGAGCTACAGTGTAAACCAAGTGTTACACTTAAGACAACTTAGGTAACCAATGGCAAATAAAAGTAGAAGATAGTAAGTCCCTCCGCACTCCTTACAGCGCTCCCGGCCCAAGTAACTGTAGTGGTGCTCGCAGTGACAATCACGGATGGCGTTGCCATAGTAGAAAGCAGGAATCACCAGTACTCAGCAAATATCTTTGATGTCCATTTATTCGGACCAATCGTCACATCCAAAACGACGTGTCGGGACCGCACAGGGTCCCTTCATCAGGGTGACAATGTAACAAAAAGTTTTTGTTATATTGTCGCCCTGATGAAGGGACCCTGTGCGGTCCCGACACGTCGTTTTGGATGCGACGATTGGTCTGATTAAATGGACATCAAAGATATTTGCTGAGTGCTGGTGATTCCTGCTTTCTACTATGGCAAATAAAGGTATTCATTGTGCACAAGATCTTTGTAAATTAGTATGTAATGTTTCCAGTAAGAAGGTGACTATTCCCCATGCTATTATGAGGAGTGCAGGATATGAACTATTCCATGTGAGCTGCTGTCTGCACCATGCACATTTTATTGGAGTCAGGACACCTGACTAATGAATACACACAATATTTTTTATTAAAATAAACACACATTAGACAAACTATTAAAACCTGTGCGGTCAACTTCATTTTCTCACCTGTGACCATGACCATACGAATGTTGGCTTTGCGAAGGTCTTCAAGTACACCTGGAGTCTCTGGTTTTAGTTTATTTTGCATAATAATCAACCCCAAGAATGTCATGTTGTTTTCAATGGCATCTCTGCAACAATTATTGAAAAGGTTGCATCAAACTGTTAAAAAGCACATTTCCTTAAAAAATACAATACTAAGTATGATAGATCTTAGAATGGCAAGAATCATATTTTTTTTCTGTCTGCTATTGGCAAGATTTCCTTTTAATTATGTCCTTGTAACAACATTTTCCGTGTGGCAGAAAGTGAGGGGAAACTCGAGTGGGGTCACATATGTCAATAAAAAGCTGGAGGAGGTGCTAGCTTTACTTCATGTTATTAGTTTTTATTGCCACTGCGTCTCTGTTAGATAGCACTCACGTCCTATGCAGGTGACAAGTTTGCCACCATGACAGCAGTAAGGAGTGATCTCCCTACCAGGGTCACAGTTAGCATAGTAGGAGTAATTAATTTGGGTTGATCTTTGGTTGAGTGTCATGCTAACAGCAAGAAATATACAGCAAATGTTAACAAGTTATATTAATTTGACTATTTTGGGCCAGTTCCATTAAAGATGAACTCCGGGATAAGCACATATTGTCTAAATACAAGAGGCATATGTATTCTTAGTTGAATCTTGATATGCTGTATTGCTTCCAGATCTGTGCAGTAACTCAGTGTAAAACCTTGCCTTTGTGGAGGCGTTTCCTGTAATAAAGACCAGTCACTGCTGCTTTCTCTCCTTGTGCAGGGTGACTGGTCTTGTATCCGCCCCTCCTGTAGTTTCCTGCAGGCAGTCTGTAGCGGGTGAGGCCTGGTGGGTCCCTCCCACAGCTCTGCTCTCTGCACAAACTATGTACACCACTGTGTAGATGTCACCACTAATTTCACAATATAACATTTGAGTATGCAAAGGCATTTGGTGCATACATAGTCATTTATATCCTTTGTGGCTTTTGAGGAATATATTTGAACAAAAGTTGCTTTGCCCGGAGTTCAGCCTTAACATTCATCACCACATGAGGGCCCAATTTGTCCTGAATAAAACAAGGTATAATTCATCTAGATAGATGAATATGTAGTTTTACTAACACATGCTTAACTTGCAAAACTGGGTTCACACATTAAAAGTAGTATTAAACTCTCAAATTTTTTTTTTCAATAATGAATCCAGATCAAACATCTGCCTAGCAATGTATTTCTTTACATTTTTGCCCAAACACTTACAGCCATCATGTTTCTGAACTGCTACCAAGTCCCTCAGCTCAGCTTCCCTGAACCTCCTGTCCAGTACAAGACCAGGAACAGAGCAGACTCCAGCAACTGTTCATCGACTAGCTTGGAGGAGGGAGGAGAGGGGGCCAGGGAGTAGGGGAGTAGCTTGATTTGCTGTGTCTGTGTGTTTGTGTGTACTAACACACACAAGGATGACTGCATAGAACTCTGCTTGACAAAGCAGTGACTCTAAAATAGGAAGTCAGAACCAGTGCTCAGAGGACCACATGATTCTGCATGAAACGAAAACTTTTAAACATCAAGAATCAGCATCCATTGTAAGTCTTTTAATCAGCATCTGAACTAGCTTAGGTTTCTTTTTATCTTAATCATTAAGGGTTTAAGAACACAAAAGGTTGCTGAACGTAATTAGCTGAAGCTGAATTGTTGCTATACAGCTTAATACAAAGTCATATACACATATGTGAGCTTTTTACTTGCCAAAAGATCTATAATTCTGTTCAGTCAATCTGTGATTAAGGCATCTCTGCCGCACGGTATATCCAGGAGGACAACTTCATCTTTTGCAATTGCACATAAGTAAATTAGCTTGCTTACCTCCCCACATACTAACCGGACAATAAAGGAGTATGAGCTTATCCCTGTGCTCTCCCATCCTGTAAGGCTAGCCATACAGGTGTAAATTTTATCACATGCAGCCGTGCGGGCTGAACGAGAGAAAATAATCGATTCCCCCAGTCGCACTAAAAGGCATAGATGGAGGAATCTGCCCTGCCGTTTATTGTATTCAGACAGTCGCAAACACCCACAGCTGTCTGACTACCTAAGCAGTCACTGCATCTGATGGAATGCAGTCACTGTTTGGTCTCTAATTTTCCACCTGGCTCATTTGATTTTTCATTTTACTTTTGTAGAGCCCAGTTGTGCAGACAGGCCCTCCCAAAGCTTGAATTTCAGTCAGTTTAGCAGGATGCTTTAATGTGCCCATACACCTTACGATTATCGTACAAAACTTTTCGTCCGATGATCGAACCGTCGTACGATTGTCGTACGGCGGCCCCATCCTGCCCCGATTATTGCAAGGTTCAATCAGCGGTAGTTAAAGAAAAACACCTGGACGAATTGCGGTAATCGAGCGCACCTATTTTCGTTTGTGCATGAGCAGTGTTAATCGCATGACTTTTGACGTACGGAAACACCACCAACCTCGCGAAAATCGTACGATCGACTGAAGTTTTCTAACAAGCAGGAAAGACAAGTCATACGATTGTACAGTACTGGCGGTTGCACACTCCCCATACACCTTACCATTGTGGTACGAAAAGTCGATCGCATACGATTATCGTGCGATAATCGTAAGGTGTATGGGCACCTTAAGTCTGACAGCACTGTGCAATTCAAGATAGCCTTGATTACCTCAGACTGCTGCCCTTTGCTCTCGTATACTATTTTTATATTTGCCTGGGGTTAATGTTACAAATGATTCATTCCATTTGTGACAACACTGATATGACACACTGAAGTAAGATCAATAGACAGAAATTATTTGCATACCTACTAATATTTTGGACTTTGTGCCACGAAATTTTTGACTCCAGCTTCCTGTGTGCAAGTGCAATAACACGGTATCCCTCCCTTGTGTAGTCCTCTAAAACAGTTGCAAAGTCTGATGGAACTGCAAAAATAAATATATAAACAAGCTTTTCTTTTTCACTAGTATAAATGAACAAGGGACACACTTTTAATAAGTAAAGTTTGTAGATATATTTCAGCAAATAAAATAAAATGTAGTTCACCTGTCTCCGGCTTACAAAGGCTGGCTACCACTTCTGGAGCTCCTTTCACATAAGCATCCATCTTTTTTTCTCCCAGCACTTTGGCAACTACAGCCATACGCTGCAAAGCTGAAGAGAAGGGAAACTGTCGTACTATTCCAATCTCATATGATGTCTGCATATAAAGGGGAAAAAAATACCAATAACATCATACTATACACTACAATCACTAGACAAAGTGGACAAAAACTATGGTACTGCATAGGAAATTTCCACCCACATTTTGTAGTGTTACAATCAGGAAGTGAAATACATTTCATTGGGATATTATACATAGTCCATAATGTTAACTTGAAAAACCAACTACAAAGTTTTACAAATGGCTTCCAAACTAAAAAAAAAAACCTGAAAAGCATAAATATTCATCCCCTTTGCTGTGAAAACCCCAACTAGCTTTTGTGTAATGAGCTGCCACATAAATAGATGCATTAAGTTGACAACTTTGTGCACTTAAGGTGTCACACAACCTCAAAATAAATACATCTGTTTCTGAAAAGCAAAAGTTTGTGGACACATGACCAATATACCTATATGAGAATTTCATCATCGCCAAAACCATGGGCATTAAAAAAGCATTGCGACTACCGCAGTTCCCCCCCTGTAGCTAGGAAAACCTCTACTCAATTAGGAGAGTCTTACACAAGATTCTGGGGTATTTCTGTGGGAATTCGGGAGGTCTGGTACTGATGTTGGACTAGAATGTTCTCCATCAGTACATGTGCATGCAGCAGAAATGGACTGGCTCAAAGTGCTGTCTCTCCACCTACACTTTTTATTGCAGCTGTAGGGGATGTCAGGAGGCTAATATCAGGAGATATTCATGTACCCATTTTAAATGATTGTAAAAATACATTTAATTATTTTAAAGTATTACACAACAGCATTAAAGTGACGCTAAACTCAGGAGTTAAATCCTAAAAATACAATCAAGTACCTTTGCTTATTTGTGTATCACTCAGCTGTAGATCCTCAAATCATCTCTGAATTGGTGCCGACCGTGCCCATCCCTCTAGAGGGTGGATATTTTTGTTCCCCATGGTCCCTGTGTGTGTGTTGTAAAGTAGTCACCACTGCAAGCTCACTCCCGTGATGGGCTATAACTTTAATACAAATTAGTAAACTGAACGTGACATTGTAGTCCATTACAGGAGGGAGTTTGGAGCGGTGACTACTTTACAACACACACAGAGACCAAGAGGAACAAAAGTAGCCACCCTCCAGAAGGAAGGACAAATGTCAGCACCAATTCAGAGATGGTTTGAGGATCTACAGCCGAGTGATACACAAATAAGATACATTTTTGTTAATAGTGAAAAGGTACTTGATAGCATTTTTAAGGTTTAACTCCTGAGTTTAGTTTAACTTTAAATTGTGTTTTATATCCGTCTAGAATCAACTTTAACTCCAGGTTATTTTATGTTGTTTTTATAAAAACTCAGGAGCTGGTCAAAAGTGTAAAAGTTCCAAAAGCAGACAGGGTAGCATCTTTTGGACTTCCGCTGACTTCTGACCTATGACTGTGAAAATAAACAGTCAAATTCGGAGTAAACTACAAATCTTTCATAAGTAAGCATGCTCAAATAAAACAAAGTAATACTACATTTTCAGAATCTAGAAATAGCCCAATCTTAATTGATTCTCTTTAAGAATGGAATACAATTCCTAAGAGATTTACACAACATCATCACAAGGTGACATCACTTGGGTAGGTAACGCCAGGAGAAAAAAAATGTGGCCATATAATGTTAAAAATATCTCTATTCAATTCTGTACCGCTAAGCAACAATCAGGAAGTCTCCCAAAAAACGTTTTCAATTACTCGTAACAGATCCTACAATGAAAGGTTTATTAGCTCACTCCAATAAGATATAAATTGTGTGGTTGTAGAACGATACCATGTGGCTACTAAAGGAATATTTTAACTTTCTCAATTATCTGTTCTCTTCCAAAGATGAATGTTTTTACCATTAGATCACCAGCATCCCACTCAAGGTCTGTGGTTTGCTATAAGCAGCCACAATGCTGCTCAGTACAGCTCATAAGTCTTAGGGAACCATATGTGGAAGATGGCATAAAATGGGTCACGAGTCTAACCTGGACAATGTCCATTACAATGCTGGCAGTGACTGAACAGATCTAAATATAAAAAGATATACTTTGAAAGAGGTGCATAAAGATCAGTGAGCAGGTTAAGACAGCAGCTGTTGTCCACAGTGGATTCAGCTGAACCCAAACATTCTGGACTGCCTTACTGACACAGCAGCTGTTGCTTGTCAGACACACGCACACAGAACTACAAGGCTTCACATACAACATATGACTATCAGCTTTGCTACAATAGCAGAAAACCATGCTAGATTTTGTTCTAAAATTAGAAAATGTTCTGGAATTTACAGAAGCCTTTTTTTTTTTTTTTTTTT